TCGCCGATCATCTACTTTATTATTAGATATGGATGCACATGGCAAAACATTATGAGCACTTTCAATATGCATTGCTAGGTTTCGTTCAGCTACATCTCTTTGTTCCTATGAAAAATATATATAAATATTAACTGTTATGAATCATTTACATTTAACACTGTTATATAAATTGTTCTTTATAAATGCAATGTAGGTAAATTGATTTATAATTTATATTATTGACATTATAGGTATTAAATTTAAATTTTAAAACGACAATTTTTCATCTTCAATTTTATAAACAAAATTAGACCAACAACAATATTAAAATATTCACTCATGGCACTAAAATTCGCATTTTCACAAAAATGTAGAGTACCTACCTAGGTACTTATTTGTATTCTAAAGTTATAGTTTTTCACTTTTTTAGCATGAATATTGTAATAATACATTCTAGTATTGTATGTTTACCTTCAACAGTCCAACTTCCAGACGCAGCTTTTCCAACTCTTCGATGTACCCGGACACGTTACTGGACTGCTCGATTGTGTTGGTCGGGCACAAACCGACAGCCGTAGCGCCACGGCTGCCCATAGCTTCTCTTTGCAGTTCTTGTTGCTGCTGTTGATGTTGTTGTTTCTGATGCTGCTGTTGAAGTTTTTCCGTTTCTTGAGGTAGTTTGTTGTTTGGCGGGAAAACAGCTGATTCCATTGTCACTGGGGGTTGCTGATAGGACCTCACCCCCTCGGAAGGGCTACCCTGGTTGTGGTTCCGGCGGAAAAGCGATATGAATTTCATCACGCGCATGTATTGTACACGTAAACGTCTTGAATAAAAATAGATGCACCAATAGATACCTACCTAATCAAATTACACAATAAAAATAAAAAAATGTAATACTTTGACGATTCATTAACTGAAGCGCTTTGCAACGTTAATTTGTGTTTTTTTTTCATTGGGCTTTCACAACAAATGTTAATCGAACACTTACAATAGCACAAATTAAAAACACAAACGAATCATTTTCATAATAAGACGCCCGAAGACGAACGAGCATGCAAAATTCCGATAGGAAAACTAGTAACTAGTGTAAGAGAAAAAACAAAGATAATAAAATAACCGGTTAACAGGTGTTTTAAGAAAGAGAATAGTCACAACACTGGACTAAAACCTTTACTGATAACGACGAATAACACTTAACAAATATATAAAATATATATATAATTTATAAATATCTGTGCTAACAACTCACAAGCACGAAGTATTATCACAGACTATATGAAAATATTAATATATTCATAGCACAGAATATTCTGTGGCCATAGTCATAGTTGTAGTCATAGTTAGTAATACATAGTCTTTTCATTAGCTGTGGTATTATCATATTGTTATATTCAGTGGTATTAATGTATTATAGTATAATATTACTATTATAGTATCTCAAATCGTGCTCACAAGTCATAATACGTCTAACTCTTAACACTATATAGTAGGTACCTATAGACGATGAGTAATAAATTAAATAATAAATATGATTATGATATACCTACTACGGTATATGATAGTATGAATGTATGATACAAAAAAACCTACAAATAACCACCCAATGGCATATGTTGCCACTGGTAAGTTAATAAAAATAAAATTAATTAAATAGGTACCTGTGGGCTGTGACCTAATAATTACAATTATTACAATACACTAAAGTTCTAAATATAAAGTATTGTATTATTATAATATAATAATAAATATTTTTTTTGCATAAAATTATTTTCAAGCCATCAATAAATGTTATCGTTTGTTTTTTGTGTTTTCACTCTTAATTATTTATATCTTATTTTATAATAATTGGTACCTACTGAATAAAAATAAACGATTTTATAAATTAATTTTTTTTAGATTCTGAGCGGATCGATGAATGTACCTATTGGTTTTACAATGATATGTGTTTTTGTTATTATTATAAACCGAAAGTGTACCTGCTGTACAATATAGTCATATAGGCAACATATCCACAAGTTAATTTTACACCAGCGTGTTAACGCGTTTATTAATAATAATATCAAATAAATACCAAACAGATAACCAAACAAAAACGTTTATTCGTGTAAACTTACATAATATAGGTTATCCGTTTATACATATATAAGGCAGTATAATAGCCATAATTTATAATTGAAATTTGAAACGTTTTCGCTCGATTTGCCTGGAGCACGTCGAAAACCTCGAAATAATTTTCGGTCATGGGCTGGATATTGAATTTGGCCGAAGTCTTCAGTGCTGCAATATTTGACATATTTATCTGATACGATTAAGTTAATATATTAAACGAAAAGTACGTTGAGACTTTTATAATGAATTATAAATGATCCGTAAAGTTCGTTGTAACAAATAGGTAGGTACCTACTTATAATAACTGATTACGTACTGAATACTGTGACGCACAGAAATAAATTATTTATGTTTCAAACCCTTGGTAACCATATTTTTTATAGATCTTTTGAATGGAGAATGCATCTAAAGGCGGGTTCACACTTCACCGTGTCGTGTAATATAATCTCGGTTACCTCAGTTACCAAACGATACCGCATAGTTGAATATATTCAACTTTTGACCGTGTGGTTACATTAAGTATGAACCCGGCTTTATCTGCACATAAATGTAACCACACGGTCAAAAGTTGAATATATTCAACTATGCGGTATCGTTTGGTAACTGTGGTAACCGTGATTATTTTACACGACACGGTGTAGTGTGAACCCCCCTTAAGTTCTTTTTATTTATATTTGATAATATTATTATTTATTAAAATCGTATTCTTGTGTTTTAGTTTTACTGTTCAAGTACTAAATTGGTAATCATAAGAATATTGGATATAGGCGCATTTAGGGGCCGTTGTTCTATGACATACGTTTTGTTTTAATTTTTTTGTTCTAAAATAGGTATATATTTTTTAAATTTAATTTTTCTATAAGTTATAGATGTATTAAAACTTGGGTTTTTAAAACACATACCCAAATGGCCAAAATGCCAAATCGTAACATAAAAAATATATTAAATATTAATAAATATTAATTACAAATACTATCCAACTACCAAGTAAACAATGATTTTAATTTCAAAATATATTTTAGTGATTTTTTCTGGAATCAATGGTATAAATTACAACACAAATTACCCATTTTGTTTTATATTACCTACCTAACTAAATAAATATTAATAAAGTCATTGGTTATAATAATATAGTACCTACCTACCTATTAGTTATTATTAATACTTATTATCTAATTAGTAATTAGTAATTTTAGTATAGGCACTCTTATAAAAATGCGGAAAACAAATTGCTTTGGTAGGTATAGGTAAATGCATAATATAGTAGTTATTATACTAATGTAACTTATAAGTAATATATAGTGATTAGTGACTACTGAGTAAATAGTAACTGCCTAGTACCTACCCATTAAATATTTATGAATTTTACTTTGGATATTAATCATAGGTGCAAATGAGGATTAAGGGGTGTAGCCTCCCTAGAATTAGATGAATTCCTATAGTAGTCCCCTAAAACTAATGACTTCAACTTTCAAGTACTTCACAATAGTTATAACTTATAATTATTATTATTTTAGATTCCAAGGCGAGCGATGAATGTATTGATTTTAAAATTATGTGTGAGTTTTAACGAATTCCTTTTTTTGTCTGTTATCGCATGGGGCAGAAAAAATGTCATCCCACCGGTAAACATAATATACTTTCACAGTTTCACTTGGGCAAAACCTTCGATAAAATATTTTATTGAGATTTAGTACATAACAAAAAAATAGTTAATGTTCTTTATGGGTATCTACTTTAGCAATGTCGTAGCCGTAGTGATTCAAATGTCTAAGGCTATTGTTGTCTAATGATTTCTTATTTTTTCAATATTTAACATGTAACAGCCCCTAAAATTGAGTGTAGTTCAACAATTGTGTAGAATTTAAAACTGTAATATTATGTATGATTTTATAGCTTCACATTTTTTAAAATATTTTAATGGTTTTTTGTATTTGATGATATTATTGTGAATGAAGTAATTTATATATAAACTATTTACGTGGAACCTTGTTTTAAATTTTCAATCTTTAGCTGTAAAAGTTGAACATTTTATAAATTTTTAATTACAATACATACACTATATACATAAAAACATAAAACATTGAATATTGATGTATATTGTATATAGGTACCGAAAGTAGGTATATACTAGACACAATTAGTACAATTAGTATAATTATATCGATGTAATTTATAAATGCAATCGATACATTTATATACCTAGCTTACTCCTAAATGGCTCGATGTACTTATTAAGTATTACTAGTATTAGGTATAACTAGTGTCTAGCATGTAGCCATATAATATGTACAGATTTTTATGATCAAATTAGATCAGGTGTAGTAGGTAGTAGGTACTATGTACAAATTACTATTTACATTTAGGGCCGTTCTTACGACGTCCGGTTAAAGTTAACCGACACTTAACCGGAAGAATTCTGCCGGTAATAAAATCTGTTATCAGTCGGTTAGCGTTAACCGACACTTTACCGGACATTGTAAGAACGGCCCTTAATATTTTAAGTATCGATGGGATATTGATAATTAATATAACCTATTAAATTATTTATAAACCGAAAACCTACATAAAATAAATGTACATACTTATATAAATATAGGTACTATTATAAATGTACTAAGATACAATACTAAATAAATTGGCATCTCAGATATTTAATTTTAATAATATTTTGTATTTTAGATATTTTAAAAGATTGATAAGTACCGCCACATGGTAATTTTGCAATTGGTTACACTGAACTGAGTTGTTGAGGTTATAAATTGTTATCACATTATCAATTCAATATTTTCCCTATTGTCAACACGATAACAATATTGACATGTGTGTTTTGAAAAATCAAATATTAATTATTAATTTTTAATTGTTTAATAGGTACCTATTATTTTAATATAATTCACTTAGTCGTCATGGAATACGAATTCAAAGACAGAACAAAAGTAAAACGGCATCGAAAGCCAATTAATAGGACAACCAAACGAACTATAACTTTTGATGAAAAATCTAGAACGTAAGTATTGTAGTCATTATTTCAACTAGATTGTTTTTGAAGAATATTAATAATACAAATTGCAGTGCTCTTAAAACACTCACAGAACATGTTTTTGATGTGATTCCAGTACCATACACATTTCTAAATAACAATATTGTACTTTAGAAGTGTATTATTTGTATTTATAGTTGACATTAGTTTATTAGTTAACCTATGTTTAATTAAAATTAAAATTCAATTTTTGATATTGTTAGAGATTTTTTGACTGGATTTCATAAAAGAAAGCTTGCCCGAAAAAAGAAAGCCAGAGATGATTTTGAAAAGAAACTTAAAGAAGAAAAGAAAAGAATCAAAACTGAAGTAAAAATTAAAAATATCATATTAGTTTTAGATAAAACTTTCTTTTATTAATATCGATATTTTGTATTATAGGCAAGAGAAACGTTTTTAAAATTGACTAATTCTCATCCATTTATCCCAGAACCTCTTGATATGGTCACAAGAGAATATAGTTTGGAAAATCATACGGTACAAATTTGTGATCTTTCAACAGATGAGATTGCAAAAAGTAACAATTGGATTGGATCAAATCAGGTATTAAAATGTACCAATGTACTCGAATGGTTTATGAAATAAGAACAATTGTGCTTAAGAGGACGCTACACCCGCATGTGTTATCTCCGTCTTACACACGTACGACATAGACAAAACGCGTTTAGGCAGTCTGAGTATAACTCGCTCAATTTTGGTTCTAGAGTAAAAATGCCTATTATGAAATTGAATTGTGATAATATTTCTAAGGGCAAGACGCTGCGGTTTTTCCATTATACCCAATATAACGTTCATTATATCGTTTAGAAATAGAAAAAATTTCACCATTTTTAAAATACCTTTGACTTTTAAAAAATTAAATTTTTTAAAAAAACCGCAGCGTCTTGCCCTTAGAAATATTTTCACAATTCAATTTCATAATAGGTATTTTTACTCTAGAACCAAAATTGAGCGAGTTATACTCAGACTGCCTAAACGCGTTTTGTCTATGTCGTACGTGTGTAAGACGGAGACAACACATGCGGGTGTAGCGTCCTCTTAAAATGTATAGTTAAATTTCATTGAAAAGTATTAATATTTATTATCTATCTGTGATACATTTTCAGTGACATTGATTTTTTACAAATTTGATATCGGGTTTAACATAAACTACAGTAACTATTTAAACCAATCAGATATTTGTAGTTTGCCAAATTCATATGAATATTCAGATTCTGCTTTGAGACTATAATAAATAATAATATTACTATACCCTGTTCAAAATAAGAAGCGACCTGATTTACGCTTGAAAACCGGTTTTACTAGTGGCCGCCTGAATCGCTTCTTAAAATGAACAGACTATAGATAGTAGTTGCAGTCAAAAAAATTATTGCTGACCATTGCAGTTGTTCTCCTAATTAGTTATTTTATTTATATTATATAAACACATAATTGATATAAGCATATTTTTTCTCGTGCGCAATTAAAAATAATATTATCCCTAACCCAAACTAAATGTTGTGTGCTTAAATTATTTTTGTAGTATGAACATCTGTTATACTTTAAAATTGTTAGACATCATTATTTGTGACAGCAACTTAATTATATAACATGTATACATTGTACAATGTACATAATATTAAAATCATTGTGATAACTGATAATAGTCCAGTATGTGACCTACAAATATATTTTTGGCCCACGCCATAATGTCATAATATCATGTCCAAAAAATATGAACATACATTAGGTACTTAAAATTAAAACATATACCTAGGTATACAGCATTAACAACACACCTTAATATTTAATTCTATAACATTTTAGAAGTCGTCAAAAATATTTACCCCCCTTTGTAACAAAAAATTTTTCTTTTAACATACTCATTTAAAATAGTTACGGTTTAGTGGTAGGATCTGCACCATTTGTTTTTTATTTGTCAATCTACAGTTGAGGTGAACAATTTTTAAAAATAAATAATAATATTATGCTCTATAGATTCATCAGTTATTTGTATAGCCTTTCTACATTTGGATTGTAGTCTCCTGTTTCTGGATTAATAAAAAAATTCTAGTGGTAGACAGCTTTGCGAATGTGTCTATTTAATATTAATAGTATATACTATTGACTGTTATTATCCCAAGTTAGATTTATTTTATTTTGAATAATTAGCAGAAGAATTTCTTCATCAGGCTTTTCGACAATACAATATTTTACTAAAGTAGAAATATATAAGTTTAATATTGGTTCTAATTTAGTATACTTTACTATACAGCAAACTGTAAGTGGAGAAATGGACTAAAAATTGATTTCCAAGTTGCATATCGACAATTACCACCATTGTAAAACCATATGTAACTTGAAAAATGATCCTTTCTTTAATGTTTAGCATATCGTACACATTTATTATTTATGTTTGAAAAAAGTAACAATAATATTTAGTTTAAATTGTATTTATTTATTTTACATCTTTTTACATAATATATATATATATATATATTTTAGGTAATTTATGAAGATGACAAAGAAAGCAATAAAGAAGAGGATATTGATAAAACTAATGAAGAAGATGGGGCTGAAAATGTACCTGGCATGGATTTCAGTTCAATAAAAGAAATAAAAAAGGCAATTAAAAAACAAGCATCTCAAACTGTTCAAAACAGTAAAATATTTAAAATGAAAAACAAAATTGAACAAATCAAAGATAAAAAGAAAGCTAAAAGGAAGAAAATGTTAGAAACAAAAAGACAAAAATGGTTGAAAAAAAAAGGGAAAAAGATAAAAAAATGATTATATTACTAGTAGATTTATCTGGTTGGTTATGAAGGTATATTAAGTATAAATTTAAAAATAAATAAAATATATACATTATTTATTATTCTGTGTGGGTATTTTTAATTTTAACATACTACTGAAATTAATATAATTAATGCAAAAAGCATATTTATGTTTTTCACGTCCAGTGATTTAATTGTGAAAATAGCATTTTGTTGACTGTCCAATAAAATCATAACAATAAGTTGTGTGTATTAAAAATATTATCTCAAGTGAAATGTGTATTAAATATTTGAATCCAATAAACTATTATATTAAATGTAAGTATAATACCTATGTAACAATAGATATTTGATGGATAGTTACTATGCATTACCTATAATACTTTATATTAAATAGTAAACACTAGATTTTTACATACTGGTTTGTGTATGTTGACTCTGTGTCCATATTTAAAATATTACTAAATGTAATGACTAAGTAGTAGGTATTAACTATTAAGTATTTAAGCTTTTAAATTGTATTATTTTATTGAAAAGAATAATATGATAAAGTAAGTTACTACCATATTAGGTAGCCTATTATGTATAAAAAGTTTATTTTGTTTAAAAAGTTAGGTACAATTCTTAAAATCTTACTATCTTATAAACGTTAGGTTGGCGCCTACCTATTACAGTATTATAATATTGTTAAAAATTATATTTTAATGATATATTTCCCACAATATTTAATACTGGCATGAGTGGCTTTTAATTTTTACAATAAAATATATCGATAATACAAAAAAAATGTGTGACATTTCAGGATCTTTATAAAACTATCTTATTTTTTTATTTATAATTATGAGATATTAACAAAATTATTAACTACCTATGTTTCTATCTATAAATTAACTGTCCAATTTCGGTCAACGTTAATTTAGCTTTATCAACCCCCACTTCGTTTTATATTTTTCAATAATTTCCCTCGATGGATTTTTATTTTTATGCGCAACCAAATGATTAAATGTATTATTCTACCCAGCTCACACACGTTGTTGGTTCTACTAATCCATGTATAGGCAGTAAGGTACATTGGTGCACATTCCACGTTCGAGAAGCAAGAATATGCAAGTCAACGAAATTAAATCGTAATTTAATCGAAATTAAATCGAATTTAAATCGTTATGAGTTTCTATAATTAATAAATTAATATAATAAATATTATTATATTGGTAGCAACAGACCACTTACATAAACCGAAGCATCAAGCATGTAAAACATAACTAAAGAATTTAATGTTATTAAAATTGACTAATTCTGAAATCTGATTATATTTTTATTTACAACAATTTTATATTATATGTAATTTATAAAAACAACTTTATCGGTATAACATACAAATAAAAATGATAACAAACCAAAAAAATTTACAATTATGTTTTTTATATATGATTTTATAAACAAGTACTTTTTTTCCGTTTACCTACTAAATATGGACCCCAAGTAGTCTTAACCCGGGCTTGGTTGTATACTTATACAGTTACTACTTAGGGTCTCACATACATTATGCAACATAAATAATCATAATTCATAATATGCCCGATATGAGAATTTTAAATAGTTGGTCACATATTTGAGTGGATGTAGGCGGTCGTCCCTTTTTCATTAAATAAATGATAATTATTATCAAAATATCTACTCTGAATCGTTCTTGTGAGTTGCGGACATACACATTCATACCTAAAAGTAAAATGTCAAAATATTATAGGTAAGGTACTCGTACTTAGATTGTTCAATTTGAAAGCCAAATAGAAAATCGTTACCTCGACACTCATAAATATTTTATAAATTATAGTTAATGATTTTATTGTTCCGTATTCATCATTTATTTATAGTTATAGAAAATCAATATGCTATACTCGCGCATGTTACATGACACAAATAACAATGAATTATTTTCTTAGTTAAAAATTATTCATTGCACATTTGAATCATGTTGATGATATTAAATTATTTTACAATCAAAATAAAACAGAATTTTTTTAATTTATCTCTGTTCTGTAATAAAGGGTACTTATACTTACTCACCTAATAATTATTAGGTTTTTACGTACATGTTTATGAGTTTACTTTCTTTAGAAAAATGAGTAACTTATCTAAAATATTAAATTTTAACAACGTAATAATATCATGATTTATTAAATTATAAATACCTGAGATAAAAATAATATTATTATACATATTTCATATTTGTATACCGATAACGGAGGAAATACAAGGAGTAATTGGACAGGCAACTTTTGATTCAAAGTAAAATTTATACCGACGTTGTTAAGACCCCTGCAAAACGTACCTATGCATTTTTAATCAAAACGACCTTAGTGTTTGACAAAAACTATGGTGATTCTAGTGTTTAGATTTAAAAAATATAAAGATTTTTGATTTGATGAAGAAGTTTACTTTGCATCGGTTGGAGCATGTGCGTATTCAATATTTTTAATAGTTTTAATAAAAAACAATGAAACATTCAAAACGTTTATACTTTCTTCCCATTAAGAACTTGCTAAAATCGAAAAAGTGTTCCGACCGATATAAAGTAATCTTGTTTATGCATTCAAACATCTTTACGTCTTTTTTTATAAGCCAGACCTTAGGATGTACTTAATAAATAGTTGTCAGGCGTAAAGCTATTTCACGACCACGAATGGGATTTTAATATTTTGATCTAATGACTTAAATATACTATGACTATGACTTTAATATGACATATTTTGGTGAGGAGTATACACACAATAATGATAAATTTACTACACACACAAAGACTAGCTGCATTGACAGCAGGGAACGAAAGAATTTCCGAAACACAACACCTTAGAACCACTTGTTTGCAGGAGCCTTAAAGAATTTAGTATAGGCAACGTGAGTGCTTGGGTGTGAATTGTGTAAATGGCTAAACGAACGAATCATAATAATATTATAGTATGCTTCACTGTATGCTGTAGGTTGATACTGAAGTATTAACTATTAAGTACTGTACTACTGTAGTGCATTGGCACGAATAGGGTACTTTGGCTTCCCTACCCCTAATTTAATATTTAGTACTCTACTACTATATTTCGATTTTTAAAAAATTATTTTGTAGAGGGAAGCTCAGGGAAAGTCATACCCCCCCCTCTCCCCTAAAATTAAGTTATATTATGATTCAGTATAAAACAAATAGGTAGGTCCCATACGCACACACATATTATGTCACCTGACGAGTAACATTTTACACTAAAAATCAAAATCATATGCCTAACATTTTGTCCATCTTACCAATACCTAGAGCTAGTAATGCGATAAGAATTAATATGAAAACTTGAATTCATCACAATGTTTACTACTTATTGAAATCGATCATCATAATATTTTGATTTTTTTTCAATTCCGTACGATCAGAAATCACTTTCTAAAATTGTTGTAATTTTAACATCTTAAAAATCTAATTTAAAGGGAAGAATAAGATATATGCATTTTTCAAAATGTTATATCGTGGGCTGTTTACTATCGAGTAAACATTAAAAAGAAAATATAAATGTGTTTTCAGATAATTCTTATCAGATCAGTAATTGTATTCGGTCCGATGTATCGCGATTGTCAAAACTCAAAAGATGACGTACGCATTAATTTACGAATTTACCTATACATATTAATGAGTTTTTATGGGTGGGTTGTTTTTTTAGGCGATTGTAAACTCCACCGATTTACAGGTAGTCGATTTTAGGATTGTATTTATAACATGTAAATTCCACCGATACATTTTTTTACCTGAAAAAAAAATGTAAACTCCACCGATACGTATTTTTGACCTGAAAACACGTAAACTCCACCGATGGTAAAATCCAGGGCCGGACTGGGCCACTGTTCTACTATTCTACAGCACAGTAGGCCGCAATCTACGGTTATGTCAAAATAAAATGCATAAATATTAAAATCAATCTTATTATACTTAAAGACCATTTACTAGTTGAACTTAGTAGGTAGCACCACATAATATATTAGTATTGTGTTCAATTTAAGATATGTAATTAAAATGTTTTATGTCAATGACACGAATCAGTGCAAATTTACTGAGTGTTCGGCAGTTGGAAGTATTATCACAAAAACATGGTGGAAATATTAAAAAATAAACAATGAGATGACAGCCCTCAGTGGTCTGATAGTGAACGTTAGGCGGTCTTAATTGACTATTTTAAAATTTAGAAAACTCACATTTTTTTTCATCCCTGTATCCTACTGAATTGAAACATAGGTTCTGAGGTCTATAAAAATGTTTTTAACCAAAGGTATGACCTTTGAAATGCGATCAATTTTTATTATATTCGTAATTTTTTTGAATTTGTAAGAAAGATATTTATTTTATTTTTCTGGTCTAACAATATTATTTTTTTTTTATACTTGATTTTTAATTTGGGCAATAGGTCTTGTAACGTAAATCAATACATAAAATATTTATATATATATATATATTTTTATTTTTTGAAGATATAATAATTGAAGATTTATTATAATTTGCTATATTATTTTCATTTAAAACTAATTAAAAGACTGTAAATAAAAATTACCCAACATTACACTATTCACAATACAAAAATATTCTAAAGGAAGTTCTCGAGTACCAAAAAACATAAACATTGTTTTCGGTCACTTGCGTTTTCAATGTATAAAAATATTATTGTCCAAATATTACCCTATTATTATTATACAAATTTTTGAAGTATTTGCTATAGTTACTGCTATAGTATTTATTCAAGTTTACCCTATTGGTATTATAATATTTTTGTTAAGAATTCTTATATGAAAAAAATTTTTTTTTAGGATCTGAATATGAACACTATTAGTTCTATCCATGATGTAAAAGCTATATATGCCTTAGAGAATTGTGTAATTAGTGTTTTTAATTTACTTCATTTGGTTAATTTACATTTGCCTACTTATTCTAATTTATATGCCACCATGGAATATGTACTAACCTTATCGGTATCTCAGGTTAAT